TAAATTAAAGAACTAAACTACTAAAGTTATAGATATTTTATGTTAATAATTAGCTGTTGCCCGCGACTTTGTCCACGCAACATTATGATAAAAAAGTAGCCTAAAATATGCCCGTTTATGTCAGCTACCCTTCAGTGAAAGTCTGGTCGAAATCGGCCCAGTCGTTTCAGAGATTACCCGGAACAAACGCTGCATGCGGATAGACAGACAGACAAAAATTTTATAAATGCGATTTTTGTTATCAGCAATGCAAATACACCATCTTCCCAAAATCTGGATTTTTTTTTTGATATTACAGACACTCTAATTTTATTGTATGTATAGCTAGATATAGATAAACTAATTATGTTAATATATTAACTACCATTATAATGAAGAATTATATACATTGTTGTTAGAAAACATCAAGACATTAACCTTACAGATGACCTAAAATACATAAAGTTGCTCCTACACGTGTCAATTCTATACACGACTGACGTCATTGCTTTTATGTGCTACTTATTTTGCTGACCGTATCCGTAATTAATAGCAACGTTTATTAGAGTTCCGCAAAAATGACAAAAATTTAAATAACTACATTAAATTTCCATAGTCGAAGGCCACTTCTTTATTTATTTTTTTGGACATTGAATTTAGTCCTTTAGTATTTTGTGTTTAAGCACCGGAGACTTGAGTTGATCTTGTTAGTTATTACTCATCGCCTAGTAATAGTATTTGCTACATAATTTTCTATTACATCATGTTAACACTTTGTTAAAACAGGTCAAATCTACTTATGTAATGACACTAAAAATATGACGTAAATAATTGGATACGCAAATACAATTATTAACAAAAATCGGTTATTAAATTGTTTCCATTGCAAACAGAACGTGCTAATAAAATAATTCTTTAATCGTTAACATGTTTGCGCGTGACAATCTTATCAAATGGCCGACTATAAGGCTGCGCACACACGGCGGTCTCCCCATAACGATACGCTAGCGATATATCGATATTTCATTGTTTCAATACTTCTGATATGGAATGAATAGTGATAATAATTTAAATGAATTGTTTTGATTTTTAGTTGTATGTAAATAAATATGCATTCAATAATTTTAATTTAGAATTTCATATGATAGTAAATTTCTGTAAGTAAATGTTTTTTTTTTTGTTAAATTAAAAAATAAAATTTGGTACAGTTCTGAAGTATGGATATTTAGAAAAAATACAGTGAGCATATACTATTTCTATCTGAAGTTTAGAAAAAAGATACAGTTTTTAAATTTAATTATAGTAATAGTGTACATCAGGCTTAAAATTTATAATTCCATATAGTCGATAGTCAACTATGCAGAAATATTGATACGTGATACATCCATGCTAACACTATGATAATCACTGAATAAGCGGTTTGCTACTTTGTTGAAGAGTTTATTCCACTAAGGTCTAGTGCTCTAGTCCGATAATGTCACGTATGACGGATGGCCTTTGGTAATGGTTTTATAGCTTGAATTGTTTTAAGGTTGCCATAAGTAGAACAGGTAAATTAGTTTGGGGAACCTTGGAAACTCATATTTTAAGATTATTTTACTACATAATCAATTAGTAAATTAGTACGTAACACAATCATAGTAATGTTATAAATGCGAAAGTTTAGATGGATGGATGGATGTTTGTTAGAGTTTGTAGTCTAAACGGCAGAAGGGATTACGGTGAAATTTGGTATTGATGTAGAGGATAGTCTGGAAGAACTCATAGGCTACTCGCTTTTTTTTGTTTTAATTACACGCGAACGGAGTCGCGGGCAAATGTTAGTAATATAATACTAAAATTATATGTCTTGGTAATGAAATATCTATCTTTATCTTGTTCATGGCTCTTCCTCAGCGAATTTGGCCAGTTAGTTTGAAATATATCTAATTTCTTCAAGTACAGACTATAAAAGTACGTATGGAATAGACCAATAATTGAACCAAATTATTTTTGCTTGTTTGTTGCTGCAATAGTAAATTTTGCTGTCATATTTCCGGTGACGTTCAGAAAGCTGAGTTGTAAAAAATAATAAATTATATGTAACAACAATTGTTACATTTCTTTTCTCATTTTTAACATAACCAATGTAACTTTTGCGTAATAATGCACAGTTGCCACTGCGTTATAACCTCTATTAAAAATGCCAATATTAAGTACTTTGTTCGTCTTGGTTCAATATATTAAATTGACATTCATAATTACACACTGAATTATTACTTGTAACATTGAATTTTAAACATTTAACTATTCTTAACATTGCAATATTTCGTCACATGTATATCGTTTTATTGTGACCTGGTTTTGGATTCTGGTTATCATTTAAATTTTAAACTATAATCATCACTTGTCTTCCCATACTATGAGAACAAGATAGGAAGAGAAGGGGGACTAAACATTTTTTTCATTTCACCAAAGAAACGTTTAGACCACTACGTCTTTTTAAAACATACCGTGTAAGATTCACCTCAGAATACGCACAGATTAGTATCATAAAATTTGAAGTAGATTGATGAAAAAACGTGAAGTAGATTGACCGTCTCTGCAAACATTTTCTGATACAAAAAATGATGTAAGTTTCATTCTGTTCATTCAGTGCAACTAAGATATTAGACGTGAGCAGAAGAGAGAGTAGCAGAAACTGCTGAAATCCACGTCAAAGAATATTTTGGTATCACTCTCATTCTCATTGAAAACAGAAATAGTTAACATACACAGTAAGATATAAATACGAGGCTTCTTTTTTTATAAAAAGTACTTTTTTGTATAATTAAAGTTGTTATATAATTCAGTACATATCGCACACCAAACAATTTATCAAGTGACGATAAGAATGTTCAGCTGATCGTTGTCAAATTTCTGATAAAGTATATCATTTAACAGTGGTAAAGCCCATTTAACATCTTCGTACGAATGGGCCGGCTCGCCAGGTAATACCACGACCACATAGAAAACAGGCGTGAAGTGGAAGCAATTCCGCGTTTCGTCTGATGAGTGTGGTGCCGGAGGCCTAATTTAGTC